TAGGAGAATGAACAATAAATTTCGTTATGGGTTAAACTGAATTTTAATTCCAGCTCTCTAATGCAGACCTCCCATGAAACTGTATACCCCCGCCCGCCCAAATATAAGCCTCTGAGCTTCAAAGGAAAGCAATAGTGAAGGCTAGAGGGGGATGCAGATCACTTGGGAGACTCTTGGTTTGAAAAGATGGGACTTAAATTCCAAGGTGTTACTATTCAAGGAAGTCTTCACCCACCTACCCTAACAAGTTCCTTTGCATGCTGCTCAAAAAAACATTCCAAGAAACTTTTGGAAACTACCTGAGGAAGACGGGGACATGGTACCATCAAAACCTAGCAATCTAACTCTTTTTTTCAGTGGCCCAATAAAGGTATTGCCTGTTTCTGCATCTAGGTTGTTTCATTCATAGGAATCTCCTTAAATTTCCCCACGATCCTAGGCTTTAAAACCGAACTTTAAACCACAACAAAGCATATGGACATACAAATTTATTCAATAGGGAGAAGGAATGACCTAAACACCGATAACACACTTAAGGCCCCCTGAGATTCAAAACTTTTAAGAGCACAGAAACGTTATCAGTAAAAGCAAAGGTTCATCAACTTTTTGCGTGGCCTCACTACAACTTCTGACAACTTAGGGAAGCCGCTCTGCCCGGCCCAGAAAACGCTGGGCTCCAAGGCCCAGCCACGTGGAGCTCCTGGCGCCAGCGGCTGCACCTGACGGGACAAGGCCGGAGTGGGAGGTTCAGCGGCCTCGCATTCTCCCCCCCCCAACCCTCAGACTAGGCCGCAACCGTCCCTTCCGCAACCCCACAGCCGCACCAGACTTACCCTTCCTCGGCCATGGTGGGTGGTGACGCTCCCGCCCGGGGGTTACTGAAACAAGACCAAAAAACCTGTTATGCAAAACCCCGAGAGAGAAACCCCGACGCCTTGGCCCCCATGTTCCGCTCCCTCTCCCCGCTCCCATCGTAAGGGAAAAGGGAGGCGGTGAGGAGAACGGCTCCACGCCCGCCACAAAACAGGCCTCCCGAGCCCCGTGCTCACCTCGCCTCCTCCACGAGCCGTTGGTAAAAGGGAAGAGGCGGGCCTTCCCGTCTGCCTTTTTAAAGGCGCGAGGACCCCGCCCTCGGGCGCTCCTGGCCATAGGCAGCTAACCAAATCGCCTGAAAGAAAAAAAAAAGCTGAACTGGTAGTCGCCGCTGCTCAGCCGTTCTAAGACGGCTGGCAGCAGTAAAGATAGAAAAAGCTTCGAAGACCAAGGCCAGTACGCTAAGTCGAGTCCTCCGAGCGTAGTGGTGCAAATATTTGAGGGATTTTTTCAGACTACAACTCCCAGAATTCCACTGGCAGTGCGGCCGGTTACAGTTCACAGGGGCCTAATAACCTCCTGGCACGAGTCACACACCATAGGTAGGTGTCTATGTTAGTGCCAGTTGGATTTGGAGCGAGAAGCACGGGGGGGTTTTTGGAAGATACTTGATGTGTCCAGTATCGGTTGTTTAGTCGCTTTTATTGTCTGTAAAGTAATTTATGTTTTCGTGCGCTCCGACGGTTTTTTTTAAACAGGGGCAGAGCCTATTTTTAGTAACGTCTTGAATAATCACTGACTTTACCCACTTTTATTTTGCTTTTTGCGCGCGTGTGTTGTAAAAATAGCAGCAGATGGGAACAGATGGACTTCACATGCTCAGAACTGGAGTGTTAACCTTACGGCGGCGGTTGTCTCTTCTTCCTGGCAGCTTACAGGATTATTGTCTGACACCTGAAAGAGTTCTTTATATTGATTTGAATGTCTGCAGCCTCTGTTTTCATTGTAAGATTACAAATAGATGCAAACTATATGGCTTAAATGTCAGGGGGTCTCCCCCCCCACACACACATACACCTTTTTCTTAGCAGGCTGCTGTTCAACATCTTGTCTCAGAAAGAGGTCTGGAGAACTCAAAAGCTGGCCCAACACTTCATGACTTCTGGGTGATAAGAAAGGTATCCCTAACACAGATTTTGGCATTTTCTTTGGGATTTTTTTTTCTTTTTCTCAACATGGGCAGTTTTGCTCTTCAAATAGAACCGGCGGGGGTGGGGGGGATAGTTGGATTATTTTAATGGCTGTAATCTTGTTGCACTGCTCCACATGTGTATCACAAAGCTGTGGCAATGGTAGTGAAAACATTGCCAAAGTGCTGTTCATGAACCACTTCTGGCTTGTGTGCTGTGCAATAGTTGTAACAAGCTGTGTGACCCACAGTACAATCAAATTGTGTAATCCTCACTGCCTAGTTATAACACCCAGCAAATTTACCCATGTATAACTTTACATTACATAAAGAGAAGTAGAATTTCAGCCACTGTTATCTTCTGAAAATTCTTTGAAGAATGGCATGTAAATAAAAAATGATATGATTATGTTGCTGATGTCTTCCATGTTGTCAAAGAGGAAGTTGGGGTGTTTGTGAGCAGCATGTCATAAAGAAACCACAGTGAATGCATTGGCTGGAAGAATTACATGTTTCCAGCAATCTAATAATTCAGTGTCTTCAAAACTGTACTGTTCAAACCTGTTGAATTTGTATCAGCGTATTAGTAGCAATTAAATATTATAAGTGTTATCTTCTGAAAATGAATTAGAAAATGAATTAATTTTTTTAATTGTCTAAAACAAAGTTTGTTTACCAAAATCCATACTTTGCCTTATAAAACATTTAAGGACCTTGAAAACTTTACAGAAGTGAATCAAAATAAAAAAGCATTATGACACTTCTGTAGTAATTCACCTTTCAGTTGCTGTTGTTATTCTCTCTCAAGTTGTTTCTGACCTATGGCGATTCTATGCATGAGTGATCTCCAGAATGTCCTGTCCTCAACAGCCCTGCTTAATTCCTATAAACTCAAGCCTGTGGCTCCTTTCAGATTAAGCTACAATACAGAGGAGGGGAGGGTATATTTCAGAAAATAAACAGAAGTGGCTGGATCACAAATTCTATTCAGTGGGGATGAATGTGAACTTGGAATGAACTGCTGTTTGCGCGTGATGCTGAATTGAGTAATGTGACTTTTAAATTAAAGGAAATATTTTTTCAGTCATCAAGAGATCTGGGTTTTGATATCACGTGTGCATATAACACAGGGGAAAAAGATGTTTTGCTATGGAGATTCATGAGAAGAAAAGAAGAGGTACAAGAGTCTAATCTAAAGTAGTGGAACCCTGCAAGAAGAGACGTGATCCTAGGGAGATGAGGTAGAATCAGCTAGAAATCAGTGTAAGAAAAATGTGTCAGATCTGGATATGGGTATGAAAGGCTGGTCTCTAGTGTCACAGACCAGCTGGCAGCTAGGGCTTGCTTCTGATCTCATGAACGACTCTCCCATGGGGTGGGGACTCACAGGTACAAACACCGTGTTGTGTATCACCTGCAGTACACTTTAGGTGGGGCTCCTTTTGAAGAAAATCTGGAAGCTGTAGCTCGTACACAATGGGTCTGCCTGTGTGGTAATATAGAAAATGTCTGCACATATTATTCCAGCATTGTGACAGCTATAAGGGGTATCAATAAACTTACAAAACCACCTTTCCATTACTTGGGCCTTGTGTATTCTGTACAGAGAAAAGTGAAGGTTTTCCTGTCTGCTGCCTTCCACCGAAATCACAATCATTTGTTCTGGCATTTTATTTTCAAACTACAATATTCTGAATATTTGGTAATGTGGCTCATGTCTTTGCATTTGGACTCTTCTGGTTTGTTCTTCATGGATCTCCAAGAGTGACTGCAAGTGCTTTAAAATAAATTTAAAAACTGTTGAAATACTGCTGTAAATATTTTAAACCACAGAAGATGGATTGTTAACTTCTTTCATAGAGTATTGTAGCTGGTAGAATGATTTAGTGTTAGAATGATGAAGTGTAGGGGAACACTGCGGGCACAGTGTTGGGCAAACAGTTGCTTTGTTATGTGCGGTCATATCACCTCTGACGTATGGCCACTCTATGACTGAGCCATCTCCAGAAAGTCCTGTCCTCAATTGCCTTTGGTCTCTTTTAGCAAGTTAGTCCATCTCATATTTGGGTCTTCCTCTTTTCCTGCTACCTTCCATCTTTCTCAGCATTATTGTCTTTTCTAGAGGATCTTGTCTTCTCATGAAACGCCGAAAGTTGGACAGCCTCAGTTTGCCTGAGTAAAATGTTGTGGAGACCCCTTAGCCATAGAAGGATTTTGTGATGGCATGCACCTTAGACTAGAAGATCTGCAGACTCCTTTTTAATCTTTCTGGGTCTGGGTAAGAATTTGTGACCAGTATTTTCTTTTCTTACTACTAACCATCCCCGGACCAGGGACAATGTCGACCTGCTTACGCGTTTCTTCCTTGCAGAAAACTCTTGAAATAAGTCAGCCCTTGCATTTTAACCAGATACATACTGAAACTAATGAATGAGACCGCGCACTGAAATGCCCTCCAAGAAACCACGAGATACGGTGTGGCCCTGTGATGTGAAGGATCATGTTGTTACCTCCTCTTAATAGTTGTGTGGAAGAGAACATTTCAGGCGGTGCAGCTTTCCAGACAAGCTACGCCTGCTAAAATTCCTCTTTCCTTAAACGCACAGGAGCCCCGTCCTCCTGTGAGGAAAAGCAAGTCGGGGGATTGCTTGTTTCCCCAGCAAGTTTTGGTTCTGGTTATTTCTTATTACCTGCATAATTTGCTGGACTGACTTAACTTTGATTCCGCGAAGCTTGTCCTTAAAAGGGGTTCAGTGTACGGGCCCCTACCTAGTAAACACCCTTAACGCGAAAGTAAGCCCCAGTAGAGTTAACAGATGGCCCATCTTTAAGGAAGAGGACTTCGGGAGTGTGGCGGCTCGCCCACGATAGCCGGCTCCATTTCCTAGAAAAGTCTCCAGAGAGACTGCCGAATACCAGAGCTGTAGCTGGGACCGACTGTGATGATCAATAAACGAAGCCGCATCTTGCAGCTTTAAATTAAAAAGGCGCGCGGGAGGGGGGGGAGGACGCGGTGTTTTCTGAATGAGGCAACTTCCGATCGTAGCTGTTATCCAGGAGAGCGAAGCCTGCTGGGTCCGGGATCAGCCTCCCGGCGTGGCTTAGTTTTGTTGCTCCATGCCGCCGGCGAGCAGCCACGGTCCCGAGTCGACCGGCTGAGAAAGAAGAGCGACTCGCTCAGGGACAGCGTCCAAAGTCTGCCCCCTTTTCTTGCTGGGGGAGATCTGGTTGATATCTGGGTGAAGCCTTCTCTCAAGGGGCCAGATCCAGACGTCGCCTGCCTTCGCCATGGGCAGTCACGAAGCCGACGGCGTGCCCTCCGGCGAGTTCCCAGGTGGGTGTAAAACGCCCGGGGAGGAATTGGGTCCCCTTTCGCCGTCCCGTTTCTGGTTGCAGCGGAGGTTTTTTTCTCTCTCCTTTCCTTCTACTCAGCGGGGCGTGAAAGCGAGAGGAGGGATGCCGCTCGACCCTATCTATGTATTGAACCCGATAGAGCTGACTCGCGAGTAAGGTTCAAAGGCTGTAAACAGGAACGGTTTAGCCAGCAGCCTTGTAGTCGAGGACGGGAAGTGGATTTCTTGGAAGTAAGGAAATAAGGTGTAGATGTATGTGTGTGTGTGTCTAAGAATCTGGTGGTGTGGAGGTGAGGAGAGGCTTTACTTCTTTACGAGGGAAATGATTGGTAATTTATCCAAATTATGTATTAAGACGGGCGTGGGTTTATCCGGAAAGTTGCCTTATTCCCCCGTTTTCCTTCTGTATCTCTTGACCTCACTTTGTCCCTGGTTGCATAATCTCATTCCTTATTTTCCCTTTTTTGTTGCCTTAGAAGTGAGCAAGAAGGCACTTTTTAAACCTCCTGAGTGAATAGAAACAGGCAGGCAGGAGTAAACTCTTTAAAAGCACAGGTGATATGAGGAGGGCTTGTAGACATTAAATGACGGTGTAATAATTTGAATTAATTGGTAAATGGACCAGAGGGCATGCTTCCTTGAAGCCTGCAGTTCTGTGCTCACTTACCTTACATGAAGATTATAACAGTGCACACTTCTATCTGAGTCACGTAATAGTTTTAGGCATCTTTATTACATTTATATTCCATTTTTCTTCCAAGACATTCAGTATGATGTACCTGTTCCTCATAATGTTTCAACAAACCTGTGAGAAAAGGTGGATAAGCAGTGGTGGCTAAGAAGATGATTCAGTGAATTTGAGGGCTGAACAAGGATTTGAATCCAGACCTTCCCACTCTTAAAGGGATACAAGCTACTACATTATATTGGATCTTCACACTGGCTGGAAAATTCTGTTGCTTAGCATAATAAATTGCACTATGGTAAGCCCATTTGAATCAATGGGGATTTGATCAGTCAATTGCTCTGCAAATTCTGTTGATTCAAATGGGCCTGTGCTAACTGCAACTTACTTGAGCACAGTAATTGGCAGAGTAAGCCCATTTGAATCAATTGAACTTATGCAGTAATTGGCAAATAGAGTAAGCCCATTTGAATCAATTGAACTTATGAAGGAGTTGACTCGCTACATGCCCATTGATTCAATGGACCTGCTCTAGTGTGATTTACTATGCGAAACGGCATGATTTTGGAACTGGTTTAGAGACAGTATGTTCTGCTCTAATTAATATTATCTATAGATCTGCCTTATTTGTTTTTAATTTAAACTTAATGAATCTTTCCAGCACCCACTTACTTATTGATTTATTCATTCATTTATTTAAAACATGCTGCCTTTCTCCTAAATGAGATAAAGTGACTTTCAGTATTCAAAGAAGCAAAGTTGAAAGCTGAAATCATAAATTACTACAATATTTTAAAAGAGTTTAACATATCTTAAAACTTATAAATTAGAGCAATATTAAAAACACAAGTAAAACAGCATAATACTGTAATCCCTTTAAAAATTCCCCCATGTCAACCAGTCATTGAAAGGAAAGCTTGCCTGAAGCGAATGCTCTTCACCAGCTTGTGAAAGGACAGCAAAGATGAAGCCAACCTGGCCTTCTTTAAGAGAGAGTTCCAAAGTCTGGGAGCTGTAGCAGAGAAGACCCTCTCCCATGTCCGCATCAAATGCGCCTAGAAGAGTGGTGGGACTGAGATAAAGGTCTCTCCTGATGACCTTAATACCTGGGCAGGGTCACAGAGGGAGATGCAGTCTTTTAGATAGCTTGGACCCAAGCCGTTTAAGCCTTTATAGGTTAAGACCAGCACTTTGAATTGTGCTAGAAACAGATCAACAGCTGGTGGAACTGCTGTAACCGGGGAATTATATGTCCCCTGTAACCAGCCCCAGTTAACAATCTGGCTGCAGCATTTTGGACCTGCTGGAGTTTCCAAACATCTTCCAAAGGCAGTCTCTTGTTAGAGTGTGTTACAGTGATCCAGCCAAGATCAGACCTCTCAAGGAATGGGCTCAGCTGCTGCACTGGTTTTAACTGTCCAAAGGCACTCCTAGCTACAGGCAAAACCTCGACATCCAGGCTCAGAGGCAAGTCCAGGAACTCCCATGAGCTGTGCACCTGTGTTTTCAGAAGGTGTGTGTGTACAATCTCATCCACTACACAGGCTGAATCCCTATTCCTTGATCTGCCTTTTGGCAAGAACATCTCTGTCTTTTCTGGATTAAGTTTCAGTTTCTTCACCCTCGTCCAGTCTGATTGATTGATTGATTGATTGATTGATTGATTGAGCTTATATGCCGCCCATTTAGATATGGTCTACTCTGGACGGCTTGCAAAATGCAGAATAAAAACAATGAATATGAAATAACAATTCACAACATTTACACAAAACAAAGTAGATAAAGACAGAGAAAAAGAGAAAGTTACGTAGTGCCTGTATTGCTGATATAAGACGCTGATCTAGAACTAAAACAGCTTCCTCAGATTTAGATGGAAAGGAGAGATAGGGTTGAGTGTCATCCACATACTGGTGACATAGAACTCCAAAACTCCAGACAAGTTCTCCCAGCATTTTCACGTACATGATAAATAGCATAGGGGACAAAACAGAACCCTGAGGGACATCACAGTTCTCTGTCCAGAATGTCAAACAGGAGTCCCCCCAGCACCAACTTCTGGGTCCTCCCCCCCCCCAGGAGGACTGGAGCCACAGTAAAACAGTGCCTTCAAGTCCCATCCAAAAGAGAGAGCACCGGAGGGTACTGTGACTGATGCTATTGAAAGCCACTCAGAAGTCTAGCGGAACCAACAGGGACATACTCCTTCATGTCTGGTTCCTGGCATAGGTCATCTCATCTACCAAGGTGACCAAAGCACTCTCATAAACAGGAATGAAGCCAGATTGAAATGGATCTAGATAATCCGTCTCATCCAGAAACCTGTGGAGCTGAGAAGTCACAATCTGCTTTGGCAACTTGCCCAAGAATGGAACATGCTTCTTGAGTATTGGAATGCTGTACCTAAAAGTTCTTGTGATGGCAATATCAATGTATAGTTTTTTGTTTGTTAACTAATGGAAGGGAAGGGCTTCGTTCTATTGCTCTGAAAGAGATGGGTGTAGCAGTTTTAGTTTTGATCCTCCCCTCTTCTTAAAGAGGGAGACGGGAGACAAGATTACCTGGATGACAGGATCTTGGCAAGGGTTAAAGAAATTTTCTTGACAAAATTTAAAAAGGAGAGAGCATTCTCTTGTTCTAAAGTTGCAGCTTCGTAATTTTCTTTTTATGTTCTAAGAGATATTTTTATTTCCAAGACAATGACAGACCACAGGTTGCTGCTGAAAACCCTGGGAGGCTCAGCAAAGAACAGATAAACATTTTGATAGCAACAGCTTCTATCAATTTCAGTTCCATGATCTGCTATTCAATTCTGGGACCTTTCTTTCCGAAAGAGGTAACTAACTTAAAAAAAAAAACAGTTAAAAAAACCCCTCTGTTGCAGGAATGCTCAATGGGGAACTTCTGTGCCCTTTATCCAGCAATATCTGCTACAGCTTGCATATGGGATATGACGAAATCTGTTTCTCAACATATATATGTCACAGGCTTTTGCTAGGAAATGTGATTTTATTTTGTGATCTGATGTAGACCTTCTGTTGCAACTGTGAGAAGGACTGAGATTGCATGGCATAAGGGCACATCACGGTTATGATATATTTTCGAAGGCTACTGGCATATCTCCCCACTCATGCTCATGCTATTTAGTCTTTTTAACACAATTCATTGTCTACTAGAGGCAGTATATCCTTGTTATATTGGAGACATATCCAGAATCTTGATTTATAAATCTCAAATTGTGGACAAATACTGTATGTGCAAATCTGTCCTAATCTGTGCACCAATACCATACAGTAAAAAAACTTCTCTCCGTTTTGTGTTCTTTTAAAAATACTCACCACTATGAACTGCTGGATAGCTTGATGGTTCAAGTACCTGGAAAACAGAGGCTGGAAGTTTGAATCCCCATGGTGCCTCCTTGACAGGGGCTGGACTCCATCATCCATAGGGTGGCTTATTATTATTATCTTGTGTGCTTGCACTCATCAGACCCTTCATACAGTTGCATAACCACTAAATGACCCTATCCCTGGTACATTTACAATGCCACAGTTATCCATGCCTATTATGGAGATACATGGAAATAACCAGTCAGTCTTTTTAGTCTGTCTCATTTTTTTTTGCACCACCACCCCTTTTTTGTAGAAAAAGAACTTGAAGAAAAGCACCTCAGATTTCTTTAAATCCAACTTGGACTCAACGTAGCTCTTACATGTGTATACAGTAGTTGCCCTGTATTTGCTAAATACATTCAAACAGAGGAGGAAATGATAGAGATTTGTTATGTAAGCAAGAAAGAGCCAGTGCTAACTGAAAAGGTCTCAGAGTCCTAATGCTACTCTTCAGCACTTTCCAGATGCACGATGCACTGTTGCTTTGAAGCTGAGATAAGCAATCTGCTGCTCCCCAGATATTGTTGGATCCAGGCTCTTTCCAACCCTAGCCAGCATGGGCAGTGACCAGGGATGATGGGATTGATAGTCCAAAATATCTTAATGGTAACCTGTTGCCTGCTTCAAAGCATTTAAATTTGACCTTGTCTCTTCCTTTTTTCCATGTGAAAAAACTCAGTCGTTTTTCCCCCCATAATAATAATATGAAAATTCTTATTGCAGGAAATCCATATAAAAGAGTAGCCATTATAGAAAAAATTAAAGTCAAGGAAAGGGGGGAAATGCAGGGGTATTATGGGTGGAGCATATTTTTGTGTGGTATCATGAAACAGGTGAGAAACAAATGCTGCTACAGATAACCAATGCCCATTTTAGAGCTCAACTGTGAAATGTGTGTGATGTGAAGAGATGAGTTGCTTCTTCTGGGAGAAGAATTTTAGCTCATTAGTACAGGACTTGCTTTATGTGCAGAAGGTTTTGGGCTTGATCCCTGAAGTCTCTGGGAAAGACTCCTATCTGGAAGGGTGTTGCCAGTTAATGGTAGACTCTACGTTCAGCAGCTTTCCAGTGGGCTGGCTCAGTAGAAGGAAACTGGTATACACTCTTCCCCAGGAAGTATACACAGCAAGATCCCCTATACCTGTTTTACTTTGTAAAAAGAAGTGTTCACATCACGGATTCACACTTCCAAGAAAGCCTTTGCCCAGCTTTGGCGCTCAGACCTTCCCTGCCCCATTGGTTAAACCTTAGTCAAATGACATCATCTTATCCCGGGAGAGAATAGAGAAATGGGGAGAAATGCCTGGGTCTCTACACAGTAGCTATGTTGGTCCTGTGTTGAACCCTCTTGTTTCTGTTTCCTTCTACCCAAGGAAGATCAGCTAGAGGTAGTATATGGGCTCAAGTTGGGAGAATTTATACCACTGGGCGTGTCCATGCCCTCTCAGCAACTATTCTGTGCATCCTTCAAATGTCATTGCTCCCGGTCAAAGCCCCAGTCACCCTGCCCTTGTTATAACTCATTGCTCTGAAAAATCATATATTGAGCAGGATATATTTTCTGCTCAATATGTGATTTTTTTTCATTTTCTCCTCTTCTGTTTAAGAAATAGCTCCAGACCTTTGGCAGCACCGTTTCACATATACTATATGGATCAGATATGCAGGAGTAATAAATATTTTCCCAGATATTTTTCCCTCCTATATCTTAGTACAAGTTTACAGTGCTGATATTAAGGGAGACTTTTGGACTTCATAGAAGTCCAGGGTACATTTCACAAAACCGTGCAATGTTTCCTGCATGCCATGCGTTCATGTTCTGATTCTGTGCTTGAACTTTTTTTTTCCAGGCAGAAAAGAAAGGCGCTAGTAGTACAATAGTTGGATTCATTTTTGGATGCTTTGCCTTGTTCAACTTCTTGACATCTTTGATCATGGGAAAGTATGTAAGTATCTCAAGAGTTGTGACAAAGTCTATACAGGAATGCTGTATACTGCAGATAAATCAAAGCCATGTTACCCTCTTCACCTCCTGTCTCTATGCAGCCTTCTTAAAGTCTTATCATACAGAAAATGCTCACATTTTCTAATGCCTTGGGACAGTTCAAAGAGAACATCCTCGACTCTTTTGGAGGGGCTGTTCAGCAGCCCTTCAAGTGTGCCTGTGCCATATGGACAAAGAGATAAATTTCATTCAAGCAGGACTTTGGTCTGACAATCAATTATTTGGTGCAATCTGAACCCCTTGGGTACCATTAATAGATACATATTTAATTTGTTTGTCTGGTTTTATTTTAATTATTATAGTTGGCTGTTTGAGTGCTCTTCTTGACAGGAAGACAGCACATAAATGTAATAAGCCAGACACATTTGCAGTGTGCTTTCTGCAGAATTGGGAGAGTTGAAGGTTCTCTGAACTAAGACAACATTGTGATGGGTTTTCTCCAATAGCTGCAGAGATATATATTGGGACTTGTTACTTTTGGTGCAAATTGAGGACTGATTGTCTCAGTGTGCAATGTCATGCAATGCAATGCAGGCCTTTTGCCATTTTGTTGCTCTATCATTGCACGAGGAGCCCACGGTGCTTGAATCTTGTCAGTACATTGGGCTAATTGCCCTAAGTGCTGCTGTGCTGTTATGTGAAGCTTCACTATAAGGCTGTAACACAAGGGTTAACAGTAGCAAAGGGTGTGGAAACAGTTAAGAGCACCAGTTTCCTCGCCATTGTGAAACTAGGTTAATTCACTTATCCATTTAGAATATTTTTAGGTTTGATAATGCGCTGGAAGTAAGTCAGTTGAATGGGGAGGGGGAAAGTTGATTATGTGTTTCCCCTATAAACTGAAAGTAAAGCAGTTTTATCTTCCATAAAATGTTCTGCTTTAAAGTCTGGCTGATCACTGAAATGTAACACTATTGTTTAATCATTACAGCTTGTCCAGATTGGAGCAAAGTTTATGTTTGTTTCTGGAATGTTTGTCTCAGGATGTGCTACAATTCTTTTTGGGTGAGTGTTTATACCTTTCTTGTGCAGCGCCTTGGAACATGTTTTACAATATGCACTTTGTTTTTACACATTGTGGCTTTGGTTCGAATTACTATTTTTTTTAATGGACCTTGGTTCTATTCAGGATATTGGGAAGCCTGTCAATGGAGGACTGCCAGGGCTGCAAGTGAAAAGAGGCTCTGCACTTATTCCATCCTTTTTCATTATTTCTTTTGTGGTAAGAAAAAAGATGGAAGAAGGTTTGGAAAACACAGAAGGGTTGAAAATGGTAGCCATTGTTATCAGAGTGTCCTGCAACTTTATTTGTTTGTTTGTTTGTTTGTTTATTATCTAGAGTTGACTGACTAGATAAGCGGGATATTTATTTATTTATTTATTTATTTATTTATTTATTTATTTATTTATTGAAGCAGGGAACTATCTGAAGGCTTCTACGTTTATTTATTTTTCTCTTCTGTAAAGCGGGACTATTTCTCCCTGTCACTTTTGCTGATCAACAGTACTCCTTAATCCATGTTTTCCTCCTCAGTGTTACATATTTGGCACCGCCAGAATATAACGTTTCACTGCTCTCATATGTTAAGTGACTGCTCAAAAAGCAATTTTCTCTCTTTTACACTATAGAATATATTGAGGGCAAATGAGTACAGTATACTGGAATTTTCTCTATGGTCTATATGATGCAAAACTGCAAAAACATAGTTAGTCTCTAACTATGGAATGGAAATAGTAATTATATTGATATGCTGATATAAAAACAGCTTGGATAATGCCAACGGTCATATAGTCAGAATTCAGAAAAAACATTCAGTCGCAGAGTTGCTTCATGAAATCCCAACAGCCTTCTTCAAGATAAAGAAACCACTGTAGTATGTTCTTATCATGCTGTATGTATAGAGAAGTGGCTGGGTAGATGGCTACTTGTAAAGCACACCTACATACAGCATTCCATGTCATTTGTTTGTTGTATTGGTGGACTATAATGTTTGATTGGTAGGCTGCTTCCCGATAAGGAGGTCCAAGGTGGCTCACAAAATTAAAAGAATAGAATTAAATACTTAAACATTTAAAACAACTAAACTGTACACCAATTAAAATGATTAAATAATTAAAAGTGAGTAAAATTAAAAACTATCTGAACTTTGAAAAGTCATTTAGGGACTGAATGAACAAGATGATGGAACGAGAGACCCTGCTCACTTGTCTCTGCTCCTTCTCACCACCAAAGTGCAGCCTCCTAGAATCATGGAGTTGGAAGGGGCCTCTAAGGCCATTGAGTCCAACCCCTTGCTCAAGGCAGGAATCCCAATCAAAGCAGATCTGACAGATGATTGTCCAATTTTCTCCTGAATGCCTCCGGTGTTGGAGTGGTCACCACCTCTTAGGTAATTGGTTCCATTATTGTATTGCTCTAACAGTTAAGAAGTTTTCCTTAAACTTCTGGCCAGCTAGTCCCAAGAGAACAGTTTCCTGTCTTTTAATTTATCGCATTTACAACCCCACCTGGTTTTCTTCCACAGTGTACAAGATTGTGGTGTGGGGGCCCTTCTGAGGTTGCTTAAGGAGAGAGGCAGTGATTGACCCAAGGCCACCCATGGAGAACCCATGGACTCGCTCCTCTCTAAAGCTCACATTGTAACCAGGATGCCACGCTGAGAGAATAAAGATATCCTTCCACTGCTACTTATTCAAGATAAAATAAGTTCCCAGATGTACAGTACAAGAACAGAAGTGGTGATACGTAAGATGCTGAGGAGTGTATAAGATTCTAAATCCATTCTATTTGTGTGCTTAGGATGTTGGACAGAGCACCTGATGGGCCCATATTCATAGGGCTGTGTTTTTTGACCCGAGCAGTGGATGCAATTGGCTTTTCTGCAGCAATAACAGCTTCATTTTCTATTCTTGCAAAGGCTTTCCCCAACAACATAGCTACAGTTTTGGTATGTATGAAGCTGACTGGTTTGCTGAAACCCTTCCCATTGCACAGAGCGTTTGAATTGTTATTGGTCGTGATAGGATAGGGAGCATCAGGGAATAGAAAAATAGATGGAATGCAAGTTAATGATAACAAACCCTGACATTCAGTAGATAAATTAAATGAAACCACACTATTAATTTAATTCAATGCATAATGTGGCTGTTAGAAATACAGGGCATATGGTATTGCCATCACATAGGCTGGACACCCCTCTTTTTATGTCTTCTTTTGCCCGCCTAATGTACAGTGAAGGAAAAGTACACAGCCCCTGTCTAGCAAATTCTGCTTGTCACCCTTGCTATCCTCACTGTCTCTTTGCAGGGATACGACTGCAAAATTAAAGGAGAAAAGGGGAAGGGGATAAAATATTGTGGCACTTTAAAGATTAACATAGTTGCTTTATCATGAGCTTTTGTGGATCAAAACCCAATTTTTCAGACACAAAATCCAGTTTTTAGCAGATACTGTAACCTCTTTCTCTCTCCCCTCACAAAAGTGTGTTGAGACACGTGTAGAAAATGTCGAAAGAGACATTCAGTTTCACTTTTTTTCTTTTCTACCAGTGTTTGTTCCTGCATCTAATTCCAATATTAGCTTTGAATGAGCTTGACAGAAACTTTGGAGGCCTTCTTTTATTTTCTCATGGTGGCAAAGGAGAGCCCAAAGAGAGAAGCAGCTGTGTTGTGATAGGGAAGCTAAAAATGGCAGCACACGCATCGCCTCTTTCCTACATAGCTGGCCAGAGAGCTGTGGGTCTTCTCCCTTCTCTTCTTCCAATTCTGCTCATGCGCTTTCATTCATGGAAAAGGTTCATCACCACAAAAACATAATAACATATAAATCATTAAGCCCTGTGAGAGGTTACATATTTGCAGAAGGAGTGTTGTCTTCTGTCTTGTCCCATGTGATATCTGGGAAGAAAAGGAGAAAAGATGAGTGATACATACGTAGTTCCTTAGTGGAGGATAGCACCTCCTATCTGATATTGATTGGCAGCAAGGAGATGCACATTGGCTCTTCTGGCTGCGTACTATTATCAAAGTATGTACATGAGGTGAAAGGGCAGATAGTATCTTATGGATCTGGGGATGAGGAAGCAGGAGACAGACCCGAATTATATTTTGGCAGAGTCTTAATACACTAAAACACTCTGAAAGCAGTTTCATCTGGAAGGCAGCATTTAAATTTTGATTTGGTGTGGAAAATATGTGTAACTAATTGCATAAAAAGAGCTGTACTGTTGTTTCAGGAGCGGATAATTTCAGTGAAATACTGATGAGTGCTAACCAGAAAAAAATCAAGACTAAATGTTTGCTTATATTTGTGTTTATTGAAGCCCATTAACATATTTCGTTTCAGCTGTGATAGTGCTGTGTTTAATTTCTTTTTTCTTTTTAGAATGCAAGTTAGTATGTTGCCATTGTGAAATGCCAACAGAGATTGGATTTTTAAAAAATTCTAAATACACGTGTGCACATTTTTATACTTTCTCCTTAAGCAGAGTTTGTTTCATCTGTCATTTCCTGTGAAAGTCAATGAGAGGCATGAAAATGTGGATTTCTCAATAAAATAAGGCAGTGTCCAAAGCAGTCTGAGCTAAACTGGGCTGCTTTCCAGATTGCCGAATTGGTGCTTGAACTGAATGTGCTGTTTGGTTCATACCCCTATGCAATGGTGGCAAGCAGCTATTCCCCATCATCTTGTGGAATTGTTTTATAGCTGTTGCTTTTAAGGTAGCAAATATGCTTTTGATGCATGGTGACTGTACCAAGCTTCATTTGCTTGAATATCATTGTGGCGTCCACCCTCGTGCCCCTTTCTTGACCGTCAAGCCTCAGAGCACACGAAGGCAAACACACTCCTCTTGTACACTGCTGCCACCAGGTGATCTCTAAATCACCATTACCTAAGAAAGATTCAGGTCCACCCTTCAAGTTCTTTTAAATAAAACTTTGGTTTATTGATTACATAGATTGATTCATGAATATCTTCAGTAGCTAATCACACCTCGGAATTTCCCACACTCCACACTCTATTACTCTGTCTGACTTTTCTCTCCTGCCTGACTCTCTTACATTTCTCTTACTGACTACTTGACTGACTCAGGCTCTGCCTCTTATAGCATCTCTCTCGGCTCCGCCTCTCAGCAACATTAATATGCATTAACTCTTATTACATAACACACATGAACCATTATGCAATAAAACGTGAACTATAGATCTAGTAAATAGAGAACGCTCCAGTCATCGATCTTCCTGCCATATATTCTGACATTCCCAACACTGCCACGATGCTATCACATGGTTTACGACTGCTTCTCACAACACTCTAACCTGGCATGGAAGGAGCAAAATCTTTTGCATGGAGTTTGGTTCTTGTCATCTCCAAATAAAGATGGAAAAGTCTTCTGCCTGAAACTCTGGAGAATCTCTACTACAGGCACCACCTGATCTCATTGCATTGTTATCTTTTTCTCTTTTTAGGGCAGCCTTGAAATATTTACTGGACTGGGACTAGTACTGGGCCCACCTATTGGTGGCTTTCTGTACCAGTCTTTTGGCTATGAAGTCCCTTTCCTTGTACTTGGATGTGCAGTGTTGATCCTGGTGCCTCTAAACATGTACCTCTTACCAAAATATGGTAGGTAGAGGTTGCTGTGTGTTTTTTTAACTGGGTTCCATTTTCAGATCTGGTACAGAAAAAGTGCCTTGTTATGTATTTTTATTTCGCCTCTGTGAAGCTCATTTCTTATAAAACATAGATGAAATCTACCTGGAGTAGATCCATTAGTTTATATCTGCTTTGGTAAGCTACAGCTATGGAGAGGTGATGACATCACTAGCAGAGAGATTTTCAGTAATTTAATTCTCTCCTGTAGCTTCTCAGACTCGCTAGTAATCTGTTTTGTTGCGTGGGATCCATGGGAGCTGTGGGGTGGAAAGAGGAAGTTGTTAGTTACCAAAAATTGCCACCACCAGATGACGTTACTAATGAGGAGAGGTTTGTTTGTTTTTTTTGTTTGTTTGGTTGGTTTTTTTTTTTTTTTGGTAATTGAAGACTTTTCTCCTTCTGTACAGTGGTCCCCAGAGTTTCCATGCTATCCCAAGATAATTTTGTCACCTTTTCCCTCAGAAGATAGGATGGCTACCCTTCTTGTCCTATGTGTTGAAACTGATTGAATCAGCAGTTGAATGTTACTTCAGCACTAACATTAGAACTACTGCAGCTGAAGACAACAGGAAACACTATGTAAATAGAAAATTATGAAGCTGCCTTATTCTAAGTCAAGCTGCTGGTCCATTTGGCACAAACTGGCAGCAGCTCCACAGAACAGAATCTTTTCCAGTCCCACCTGGACTAGACAGGGATTGAATTTTGGAATTTCTGGATATGAAGCATATATTTTACCACCCCTCCCATCTGCAACACACGGAAAGCTCTGCCTCTCAGCATCTCCCCCTCCCTGCCCCCAAATAGTATCAAGGTTGCCACTCCACTCCCTAATGATAGAGATCAGCTCTGTGTAACCAGGTATTTTGGCTGCATGTTCTGTATGGTCGTCTTGCCACTCATTCCTCATCAACAGTTTTGAAACTTTTGTAGGGAGTATTTGGAGGCACAGCCGAATAAGAACTGCAGGAAAAAAGCCCCTTTTGGAGGTGATAGGTTGTGGCTTCCCTTGTGGAGGTATCTGATGGTTTCCTTAGATCCCTTTGAAGCTCAGGAAGGTGGGAGCTCAAGTATTGAAGTTGGGAGCCCATAGTATTGATGGCATATTGAAAAATGGAACATTACTGCCCTCGTCATCTATAGTGGGTGTCCTCATCTCATAAGCAACTTCTGCAACTTTTAGACTGTTTTTAATATCAGTTCAATATTATATTGCTAGTGCTAACTAGAGCAGGCATATTGACTCAATGGGACTTAATATACAGTCATGTCCGAAAATATTGGTATCCTTCCAATTCTGTCAGAAAATGCAGCCCTTTCTCTCAGAAAATTGTTGCAGTTGTAAATGTTTTGGTACTTACATGTTCATTTCTTCGGTTTGCATTGGAACAACACAAAAATCAGAGAAGAAAAGTCAAATCTGATATAATCCCAAACAGAAACCCAAAAATGCACTGGCCAAAATTATTGGCACCCTTAACTTAATATTTGGTAGTACCCCCTTTGGAAAAAATAACTGAAATCAATCATTTCCTGTAACCACGAATGAGTTTCTTACACCTCTCTACTGGAATTTTGGACCACTCTTCTTTTGCAAATTGCTCCAGGGCCTTCAGATTTGAAGGATGTCTTCTCCCATCTGCTATTTTGAGATCTCACCACAGGTGTTCAATGGGATTCAGATCTGGACTCATTGCTGCCCATTTCACAATTCTCCAGCACTTTGTTTGTAACCATTTCTGAGTGCTTTTTGAAGTGTGTTTTGGGTCATTGTCCTGCTGGAAGACCCATGACCTCTGGTGGAGATGCAAATTTCTGACCCTGACCACTACATTGCACCCGAAAATTCTTTAGTAATCATCAGATTTCATGATACTGTTCACACAGCCAAGACATCCAGTGCCAGAAGCAGCAAGGCAACCCCAAAACATCTTTGAACCTCCACCATGTTTGACTCTAAGGACTGTGTTCTCTTTTTTTAATGCTTCATTTCTTTTTCTGCAAACAGTGCCATGATGTCCTTGACCAAAAAGCTCTACTTTTGTCTTATCTGTCCACAGTATATTCTCCCAGAAAGATTGTGGTTTTGTCCCATAAGATTTGGCATACTCCAGTCATGCTTTTTTTATGCCTTTGTGTCAGCAGTGGTGTCCTCCTGGGTCTTCTACCATAGTGTCCCTTTTCACTCAGATGGTGACGGATAGTGCGAGCTGACACTGTTGTACCCTGCAGATCAGCTTGAATTTGTTTGGAAGTTAATCTGGGTTCTGTATCCACTGTTTGAACAACCCCTATAAGATTTGGCATACTCCAGTCATGCTTTTTTTATGCCTTTGTGTCAGCAGTGGTGTTCTCCTGGGTCTTCTACCATAGCGTCCCTTTTCACTCAGATGGTGACGGATAGTGCGAGCTGACACTGTTGTACCCTGCAGATCAGCTTGAATTTGTTTGGAAGTTAATCTGGGTTCTGTATCCACTGTTTGAACAACCCTTCACTGTAATTTTTTCAGTAATTTTGCTCTTCTTTCCACGTCCAGGGAGGTTAGCTACAGTGCCATGGGCTGTAAACCTCTTGATGATATTGCGCACAGTGGATACAGGAACATTAAGATCTCTGGAGATGGACTTGTAGCCTTGCGATTGTCAATGTTTTTCCACAGTTTTTCTTTCTCAAAGATTCTCACAGACAACTCTTTACACTTCATTCTTTTCTCCATGCTCAGTGTCACACACAACACAAAGGTTGAGTCAACTTTTCTCCATCTTAACTGGTTGCAAATGTGATTACTATATTGCCCACACCTCTTACTTGTGACAGGTGTATCTAAATGTAAATTAAAGGTGCATCCCATGCTTGAAAAGCAATTATTTCTTAACAATTTACAATTTAGGCATGGTAGTTGAGAAAGAGCAGCTGCAGACAAGCTGAAAGTCTGCAAACTGAGATGGACACACACTGGTTCCCTGTTTAGCACAGCCTTCACTTCTCTCCCCACCTTCTTTTCCCCCCCGTGTTGAATTTTTATTTGTAAGCCCTTAGGGACAGAGGCTTGTCATCTGACCTGTGAAGTGCCATGCACACTGGACCAGCAATAGTAATGACAGTATCTATACTAATAAAGGCTAGTGGCTAGTCTGTTAGAGAAGATGCATTGAATCAATGAGATTTACACATAAGTTGATTTATCATTCAGCAGTTGATTCAGTGAGTCCACCCTGATTGGGATTAGCAAAGGATCTAAGCCTATGTATGCATGTGTGTGTTTTGAAACCTGCTCAGTGGTTGTTAAACTCCTCTTTAATGAATCTCTGTTGTTTGTTTCTTACAGACTCAACTCCTGGCAAAGATTCCTTTTTGAAACTGATTGCCCTGCCCAAAGTTGTATTCCTCTGTCTTTCCGTTATTTCATTAAGTGGATGCTTAGGCTTTCTTGATCCTACATTGTCACTATTTGTTTTGGAAAAGGTAGATATTTGTTTGGAAAAGATACCTCTTAAATCCATTTTGTCTCCCTAAAACTTGGAAAAGGTAGATACAGTACTTGTTTGGAAAAGACACCTCTTAAATCCATTTTGTCTCCCTAAAATAACTGTGTATAAATTCAGTTGGAGAAATAGTGGAGTGTCAGTTGCAAGAGTGAGGAATTACTGCCAATTAAAAGCTTCATTTGACAATTTTAGGATGCACACAACTCGTATGCAGTGCAACAAAGTTATGTGCATCCTGAGCTTGTCAAGGAAGCCTTTAATTAGCAATAATTTTCCACTGCTGCTGCTGCTGCACGTGCAGAGTTGCAGAGCAGGATTTTAGCCACTGACTTCAAACATTTGCAGGAGCATCCACCAATTATGCCTTTGCTTTCATAATGTTCTCATTAATTGCTGCAGTCAGTAAAGCCACTGTGTGATTGTAAAGCCATCATTACATTTGTATGTATCAATATTGCAGTAAACTGATACATAAGCAGCGAGATGCACACAGTTGCAGGTTTCCCAAGCAGGCTGCAAGGATGGCTAATAATCATCCAGTTTATGACTTACATTAATTGTTAGTCCCAACCAGGGTAGGCCTATTGCATCATAGGAGTTTGGTACATCATCACATCAATACGTTTCATTGATTCAATGGGTGTACTCTTATTTGTACTACCAAAGAGATTTAGGTCTATACTTTGAAAGGATTCATAAAGAGTTTATGAAAACATGAACTACTTCATCATTAAATGCTGGCTCTGAAGGAAAGAGAAGGAAACAAAATCCAACAGCTATGCTAAACAATCAAGCTCCATTAATAAACTTAATACCTTGTTTCAGTTCTTCCAAGTTAATAACAGTTTTGACTGATAATAAAAATGGGTTACTTAATATTTCACCGTTGAAAGCTTAGTTTAGTTGCCAGCTTCAATTTTTTAACATGGTACCATTTTATAATAATTGGTACAATTATTGGATATCATTTATACTATACATTTCTGCCAACCAGCAGTAGATAACAGTGACATGAGAAAATTAATACAATTAAAATATTGTAAACAATTGAAAATACAGTTAAAATGCATTAGTAAAACGAAAGAGAAAGCCAGTGTGATATAGTTGATACAGCATCAGACTGGGACTCGGGAGACATGGGTTCAAATCTCTGCCATGGTAGTCACTTGAGAATGGCCATGATAAGCTGTTCATTGGACATCTCGTGTACCTCAAAAACTGCATTAGGTTCACCATTAGTCAGAAATGACTTGATGGCATACATTGACAAAAAGAATCAGCAGCACCCGGCCAGTCAGAGACCTTTTCAAGAACAGCTCATCCTAAATGTCAACTGTCTGTTTGAAGACAAAGATCTTCTTCACGTTTGTGGTAGGAAAATAGGATGGTGGGCAGCCAGTCCCACCACCACCACCTTAGCAGTTTGTTCCAGAGCCTGGTGATGGCCATTGAGAAGGCCTTTAGTTTTGTCACCACCAAATGAGTTTCTGAGAGAGGCTGGACTAAGAGAAAGGCCTCCCTGAAAGATCTTAAGTTACCCGGGCAGGCTCATACTTGATAGATAACAAGTAAAAGTCATATCCCAACTCACTAATACTGATAAGACAGACTCCTCTACTATAAGAGTTTCCAGAGAGCTCTCAGATTATTTTTAAAAAGTGTCTCGTGGCACTTTAAAGATACATGGGTTTATTTTAGTATGAGCTTCCATGGATTGCAATCTGAAGAAATGGACTGTGACCCACAGAAGCTTGTGCTAAAATAAAGCAATTGCCTCCTTTTAAAAATGATGGGGATTGTGATCAAGGGCACTGGGATTTTGTACACTAAAATAAGAGGATATTTATTCATACAAAATAATTATTCTATTCTTTCTCCAGTTCAAATTGCCCACTGGCTATGTAGGGCTAGTGTTCTTGGGGTTAGCACTTTCCTACTCCCTGTCTTCACCGTTACTTGGATTTTTATCGGATAAAGTACCAGTGAGTACAACCCTACATTTTCTAACTCCTCTGTCAAATTGTCAGTTTTGGTGCTATACTATAAACAATCAGGCTTCGAAGTTCAATAGTAGAAATTCTGTTTGGAAGTTAAAACACACCAGATGTCAGAAACCCAATGTAGACTTAAGGCATTGGTTTCCTATGTGTTCTGAACTCTATCTCTGAGAGTCCCTTGCTGCTGGCTATGATAGCAGGGCCTTGTGAGAGTGGAAGCCAAAATAGAGATCAAAAGTCAAGAACCACTCTTGGCAGTTCTTTTACTTCTTTCATGAGATGCCAAGAGCAAGTAGTAGCTAAAACTATGTCAGTGACAGATGGAAGATAATATAGAAGAGCCACCTAAAACCTGCTACTTTCCAGAATTTTTGGACTTCACCTCTGATGATTTCTCGCCATTGGAATTTTTAATTGGGCTGGATGGGTGATATACAGCTAGTTTGTCCTGTTAAGTCTTTCCTCAGGTCAAGATGGGATTGTAGCTCAATGGTAACAGGACATGCCTTGGCTGCAGAAGGTCCCAGTTTCAATACCAGGGGAAGTGTCACAAATAGGTGTGAAAGTGTTGAAACCTTGGAGAAACACTACCAGTCAAATCAGACTGACCAGCGGACAGACGTAATGTATGGCAGTTTAATACACTGTTAATACTTTCTTCTGATTTAAATTTAAATACTTACTTGGATTCTAAATTCCCTTAAGGGGAATCCCCTTCACAGGATACTTCCACCGAAGGTGGAGAAAAGCAGGGGTATTGGAACCTCTGGCCTTCCAGTAGTGGTGTATTCCAAACCATATCTTGGTCAGGCTGACTGTTGCTGATAGGAATGGAAGTCCAGCAACATCTGGAGGGCTACAAGTTCCTGACCTCTGCTCTCCAGCTTCCCGTGTCTTCTGGAAATCTGCTGCTGAGGTCTGAGGAAGCCATCTCCTTGCATCTGGCCACTGTAGGGGGCGGAGTCCCTTCTGTGTTGTGTGAGAAACCTTTTCTATTCACAGAGGAGTAATTCCTGATCCAAGCTATGGCAGCAACAAGCCTTAGAGATTCTGTTACCTAAAGAGTAGGGACTTGCATATATGTGGAGCTCATATGTAAAGGAGGCAGCGGGTGACTGAGGAGAGGGTCCTCGACCATAGAACATCCACCCCAAAGGAGTACCAATGACGCCAGCTAGTTTTAGGCTGTGTATTAAAACTATGCTTTTAAGTTAATAATGATAATGATAATATTTACTGTTGTTCTCAAATTTTATTGATCTTGCTCTAAGATCACATGGTTTTCTAAAAAATTATCTAGCATTTTGTATTTATTTTAGTTTGGAAACAGCATTCTGAAAAAAGAAAGATTCAGTGGAGATTTAGTAGAAAATTTGAAATGCACCAGAATAATAGTATGCAAAAGCCTTGCAAGACTCAAAGGCCATTCTTGGATTCAAGGCTGGATGCTGGGCTTCATTTTAATTCAGATAATGCTGTTCCCTGTTCCGAACATACAAAGAAATACTTCACTTCTCTCCCCTGTCAGCTTGAATCCACTGTTTCTTTCATTCAGATATGATGACTTCATTGACGGCCATGTTCTTCATCTTTGTCTCTCTTACAGCGTGTAAGGAAGTGGCTGTTGGTCTTTGGAGGCTTACTGACTTCATTGTGTTATTTTTTTCTTGGACCAGCTCCCGTCTTGCACATTGAAAGGTAACACGCAGGTTGCCCTGGCTTTGGGATTTTATTGACTAAACAGAAATTTCATTTGGCCAATGCCATTCTTTTCTCACCACATTTTATTTGCACGCCAGTCAAAACCTGTGGGTATTCTGTATTGGCACTGATTTGAATAAATCAGAGGATAAATTAGAAGGCGACCCTTCAAAAGCAGGATCACTACTACAGTTCCCAAATCAGATGATGAACTGTGAAAACACAAAACCCATTGTAAAGTGTAAGGAACCCCCACCCCCAAACATTGTCTCTTCTGAAGTTTTGTACATACAAAGAAATCAGTAAGCAGGGCTATACAGTGGTGCCTCGCAAGACGATTCTAATTCATTCCGCAAAAATTGTCGTGTTGTGAAAAAAAATCATCTTGCGAGGTTCCCTATGCATCGGTCTGAAAAAAAGGTCTTGCGAAAGCATTGGTCTAAAAAAAAATATATTGTGAAGCACGGTCATAGAAAAAAATGTATTGCGAGGCATCATAGTGATCGCAAAACCCAATCATTTTGCAGATTTTTTGTCCCGCGAGGCAATCATCTAGCAAGGCACCACTTATATCTTCCGCCCTGAAATATCTATGTTTGTACAAAGAAGAACTGAATTCTCCCATCTTGCTTCATGCTGTTCATTCTTCATTCACTATCACAATAGACCTATAATCATGCAAGTGAGTGACAATTGCCATTTGATAAATAGCAGCTGTAGGGAAACCTAACCTGCCTCAGGGGCAAACTCCTGAAGCCCTTGCCAAATTTCTAATCTGGATTGAAGCAATGGCGGTTGATATTTAATAAATACATCTGAAAGCTATTTAATAAACATCTGCTGCTAGTTTTTATATTTATCATTACTGCTGTATAAACCCTTAACTTGCAGAGAGGACCAATACAAGAAAGGTTACCACCCAGTTTCACTGCACACACATACACCTCCTTTGTTTATTTGTAAATAGGGTTGCTCCAAAACCTGGTTTTTAAAAACATCTCTCTAAGAAAACCAATACAATTTTTTTCCAATCCAGATTTTGTGTAAGAAACTTAGGATAATGTTGTTTTTGCCATCAAGTTGCTTCCAACTTATGGTGACCCTTTGAATAAGTGATTTCCGAAATATTTTGTTATGAACAATATGGGAATTATTCCAGCCTAACTGGCCTAAAATTATAGGAAGCTTTCTATAATCACAAGAGATCATTTGTTCTTCTAGCTCATGACCAACAACACTGATTAACAGGGACTCTCTAGGGTTTCAGAGGGAAGTCTTTCATAGCACTACGTGAACAGTTAAGGATTGAGGGGGCAACTGGACAGTAGAGAAAACATGAATAGATTCACAGGGAAATCATACCTGGGAAGCTAGGTTTTAACTCCTGTGTCAAGCCAACTAAGCTGCACAGGAGTCAACAGAGAAAGGGGAGGAAATCAGTCTTGTTTGCAGCTTGTTAACCATTGGAATCCTCTCCTCCCACTATCTGATACTTATGTCTGCTTGTCTCCCTCTTCCATTCCTTCCTTCCTTCCTTCCTTCCTTCCTTCCTTCCTTCCTAGGTGACCAAGGAAAGAGTGAGAAGTAAGATAAATAATCAGCATAGTTGACCATTTTCAGTCAACTGTGTTTCCAGCTTGTTAAAGTAGCTCTGCTCTAGCCACCCAGATTTCCAGAAGACAGTTAAAGCAGAGCTACCTTAAATATATAAGACTGATATAAGAATAAGCATACAATTAAGCATAAGCCTAGGATTTGGAATGATTATCCATCATTGCTAGAATAACATATTATAATAAAAATGGTGATTATAATATGCTATTCTAGCAATGATTGTGACTTGTATATGAAAAGTGTTGTGATGGACTCTAAACAAACTATAGTTACATGTGACTTAAGGATGTAGTGAAATATTGCATCATGTTCTTAGCTTCTTTTAAAGATATTGTTCTTTTTCAGCAAACTTTGGCTCTTCGTCCTGATGCTGGTCCTGATTGGTTTCTCCCTTGCTATGACCGGTATCCCATTATTCCCGGAGATAATCAGTTATGCATAGTAAGTTGTCCTCTCTTGATTAATTTCTGTTTTATCCTCTGATGGCAGCTTGATGCAGAACTAGGGAGAGCCATGTGGTGCATTCACTGTCAAGTTAATTGACCACAGAACTGCTTGAGGTTTATTTAATGTTTTCGCGAAGGCTTTCACGGCCGGGATCTAATGGTTGTTCTGAAGGTTGTTCTTCCTAACGTTTTGCCAGTCTCTGTGGCCGGCATCTTCAGAGGACAGGAGTACCTGCTACTCCTGTCCTCTGAAGATGCCGGCCACAGAGACTGGCAAAACGTTAGGAAGAACTTCATGTTCTTTACTGTGGCTTAAGATGAATTAGAACATCTCCCCTTCTGCCGTTCCACTGAAAATAATAAGCCCTCTCTTCCAGCATATAGAGCAACAATGCAGAGTCTTCCACTCAGCAGAAGTGAAACTTGGCACAGGATGCGGTTTGATTTTTTATGTACAAGGAAAACATTGAAAAGACAGTTGTCCGCTGTATTCCTCTTATGCACCAAACTCTAGAAAAGGGTTTTTTTTTCCACTTTAAGGACAAGACAGGCGTGCCCAACAGAGGCATGCTGTGGGTGCTGCTTCTCTCCCAGTTACACAACTTGTCTTCCAGGCTATTCACCTGCAGGTCTTAAGGACACGGGGAACTGCCCCATACTGAGTCATATTGAGTCAGATAATTGGGTAATCTAGCCTAATATTGTCAAGTCTAACTGGCAGGATCTGATACTACTTAAAAGTTATCTACAAACAATTTGCTAATCTACTCACTTGACATTGTGATTTTAACCTTAATGTCAGATATAAATTAAATATAAATTAAATAAATAAATAAATAAATAAATAAATAAATAAATAAATAAATAAATAAATAAATAAATAAATAAATAAATAAATAAATAAATAAATAAATAAATAAATAAATAAATAAATAAATAAATAAATAAATAAATAAATAAATAAATAAATAAATAAATAAATAAATAAATAAATAAATAAATAAATAAATAAATAAATAAATAAATAAATAAATAAATAAATAAATAAATAAATAAATAAATAAATAAATAAATAAATAAATAAATAAATAAATAAATAAATAAATAAATAAATAAATAAATAAATAAATAAATAAATAAATAAATAAATAAATAAATAAATAAATAAATAAATAAATAAATAAATACCAGGAAATTATTACTGTTCATCAGTACAGACATTGTCATTTCTTGAATATTCTTTCCTACCTCCTTGATAGTTTTTATATAACTTACATAAGTAACTCATAGGAGTTTCTGTACATTGTTCAGTCTACCATTTTCCCTTGGCTTCCCTTTTTTGGGGTCAAGTATTTCTGTGTATTGGTTGTTCTGGGGTTTTCGGGCTCTTTGGCCGTGTTCTGAAGGTTGTTCTTCTTGACGTTTCGCCAGTCTCTGTGGCTGGCATCTTCAGAGGACAGCAACCTGTACTTTTTCTGTGTAATTCTCTGCATTTTATGTCATTGACATTTTTCATTTTCTGTCTCTTTGCCATTAAATTTAATTTTTTCCATTACCCACCTATTAATTCATTTACTTTTGTGATTGATACTGGTCACATTGATTAATATCTTTGTCAGTTTATAGCAAGTAGCGTTTTTTTAAATATCTGAACTACTTGAATGTGTGATTCTATTGATGCCTTCACAAATCCTTTAATTAAGAAAAGAATATACATAATACTTAGCTGTTTAATTCCTATGCTTTTTAAAAAAAAATTGTATGATCTCACGTGTTTTATTTATTTATTTATTTAAAATATTTTACCTTGCCTTTCTCCTTGAAAAGGACCAAAGGCAGCTTACAGCAATGAAAGACAATATTTAAAGTTGAAAACAATGAGTATACAACAGTGGTTAACATCATTAAAAGAAACTTTAAACAATGAATAAGGAGGTATCTTACAGCATTAATAGGGAATATTAAGGCAGAGATCAATAAGTATAAAAAAGTCACTCTGACAAACAGAAAACACAAAAATGGAAAACACAGGTAGTACTAAAAATCCAATCAAAGCAGTAACGCATAACAATATAAAAATGACACACAGGTAACTGGTTACTGAGGGAAGGCTTGCCTGAAGAGAAAAGTCTTTGCCTGCTTGAGGAAGGACAGCAAAGAGGAGCTAGTCAATATTCAGCATGCTGAAGCTGATATGATGCTGAGGTATAAAACTGTAGCAGTTCAAAATTAACTGTGCATTTGAAAATAATCTATGGGTGACTTTCCTTTTGCAGTGAGAATGGATTTGAAGAAGGATTAAGTTTGCTAGGCCTGGTTTCTGGACTGTTCAATGCAATGTGGTCAACTGGGTAAGTAAATAGTCATGGCATGCCTACATCATCTATAATCTTATATATGTACTTGTTCTGAATGTTAACCGTTATGTTGCACAAATGATATTAGTCCAGGCATATGACAGAAGTGTTAACAGCGTAGTTTGGCCATAATAAATTACTTTTAAGGTGTTAATATCCCTTATATGCGGTGAAAGCATCTATGTGTGTGTGTGTCGGTGTTGCGTTTGTGTGTGAATTTTACTACTTTTCCAGACAAACAACTCAAAATGCCATCAGTTAAATGAAGTATTATTAAAATAACTTTTAAAAGTAATGTTAATTATATCTTCAGTTGTTAAACATTGTTATTTATTGGTACGGCTCTTTATAAAGAGTGTACAGTGACGCCTTGCAAGATGAATGCCTCACGCAACGAAAAACATGCAAGACGAAAGTATTTTACGATTTTTTGGTGACTCGCAAGACAGATTTTTCTATGGACATGCTTTGCAGGATGAATTTTTCCCTTTTTTGGTTTGTTTTAAATTGCACAACCATTAGTACCACGCTTCGCAAGACAAAAATTTCGCGATACGACATGACTCGTGGAACGAATTAATTTCATCTTGCGAAGCATCACTGTAGGTGCTTGCATACACATCCCATAAAACAGAAAACACCCATATATCTTTATTAAAGAATCATTTAGAAGTAATGTTTCTCTCATTTAAATTGTTGGGCAATGGCTTCCAGAAATTTTGACTAGTAGCTGTGTTGGCTAATGTTTCTGTGAGCTATACTCCGGAAGTATCTAAATGCAAAGATTAAGAAACATTTGTATAAAGCTGGTTCTAACTAGAAGGTGCATGGATGTATTTTTTTCTGATCTGGAGGAGCATAGATGCACAGGCATAGTGTAAATTAAAAGTCTAAATGCATAAATTGCATTAGCATTACTTTTAAACTATTGGCCAAAATCTTGTTGTATAGCTACAGTAGAAGGGAGATGTTGTCAACTTGTAGTGGCAAAGTGCCACAAATGAGTCCTCACTTGGATTGCTGTTCATGTGCCAAGCCAGCTAGTTGTTGTGCAATGAGGAATCCAAGTGAAGATTAATTAATTAGTTGCAATTTGTTGCTGCAAATTATGCCATTTGCTCCCTAACCATGTAAATGCGCAACAGGGTTTTGGTTATTATTTTATAGCATTTAATACATTGATGCATTCTCTCAATCTGATGGGGAAACTAATAATTTTAATATTAACCCATCAGTTTGAACACAATTGTTTCCATGATCTTTTGTATTGGAAAGATTTATTCCTCAGTAAACCATCCTGAGGAAGGTGCAATAAGTAGGTGGCATTAGACTAATAACTACATTCTCCTCATCAGATTTTTCAATAGAGATAATCAATATATCTCTTAATTTACAATTATGTGAAAAAGAAAGTACACTCTCTTTAGTTTATGGTTTTACATTATTAGGACATAATAAAAATCATCTAGTCCTTATCTGGCCTGGAAATTAGGTAAATACAACCTCAGATGAGCAACAATACATAACATATTGCACGGTGTCATGATTTATTTTACTACAACCTCAGATGAGCAACAGTACATAACATATTACATGGTGTCATGATTTATTTTACAAAAAGAAAACCAAAATGAAGAAACCATGTGTGAAAAACTAAGTGCACCTTACATAAGAACGTATGAAGAGCTCTGCTGGATCAGGCCAAGGGCCCATCTAGTCCAGCTTCCTGTATCTCACAGTGGCCCCACCAGATGCCTCTGGGAGCACACGAGGCAACTAGGTACCTGTCTCCTGATACCCTTTCCCTGCAGCTGGCATTTGGCGGTACCTTCCTTTTAAGCCTGGAGATTATACATCCCCATCATGGCTTGTAACCTGTGATGGACTTTTCCTCCAGGAATCAGTCCAATCCCCTTTTAAATGCATCGAGACCAGATGCCATTATGACATCCTGTGGCAAGGAGTTCAACAGACTAACAACATGCTGGGTAAATAATACTTTCTTTTGTCTGTTCTCACTCTATCAGCACTCAATTTGAGTGGATGTCCCCTGGTTCTAGTATTGCGTGAGAGGGAAAAGAGCTTCCCTCTATCCACTTTATCAATCAATATATCTCTTAATTTACAATTATGTGAAAAAGAAAGTACACTCTCTTTGAGTTTATGGTTTTACATTATTAGGACATAATAAAAATCATCTAGTCCTTATCTGGCCTGGAAATTAGGTAACTACAACCTCAGATGAGCAACAGTACATAACATATTACATGGTGTCATGATTTATTTTACAAAAAGAAAACCAAAATGAAGAAACCATGTGTGAAAAACTAAGTGCACCTTACATAAAAACGCATGAAGAGCTCTGCTGGATCAGGCAAAGGGCCCATCTAGTCCAGCTTCCTGTATCTCACAGTGGCCCCACCAGATGCGTGCATGTGCAAAGAGGCAGGGTAATTTGTGGGTGCACGCACACTCACATGCATGTGTGAAGGGCATTCGGAGGCATGTGTACACTCATGTGCATGCACAAAGGGGCGGGGCGCTCGTGGGGGAATGCACACTTGTATGCATGCACAAAGGGGCTGTGCGGGGGGAGTGTGTGCAGGGTGGGAGATCTGTCTCCACAGCCCAAGCCACGGATCAGCACCAGGCTGCGGACCAGGGGTTGGGGACCCTTGCTCTAGAGCAGAGGTCTCCAACCCCCGGTCTGTGGCCCGGTGCCGGTTTGTGGCCTGAGCTGGACCGGGCCGCGAAGACAGACCTCCCACCCCTTGCACAACTCACCCCGCACATCCTGTTTGTGCCTGTGTGCGCGCTCCAGCGTGCCCGTTCGAGCACCGTGCCGCCGTTTGTGCATGTGCCATGTGCACACACGCATGAACACTGTGCTGCCATTTGTGCATGCGCACAAGCCCCCGTGTGCCCGCGCAAGTGCCACACCACCGTTTGTGCATGTGCACGAGCGCGGGTGGTGCCCAGCCTTCCCCAGCTGGTCCGCGGGGTGAAAAAGGTTAATACTTTCTTTTGTCTGTTCTCACTCTATCAGCACTCAATTTGAGTGGATGTCCCCTGGTTCTAGTATTGCGTGAGAGGGAAAAGAGCTTCCCTCTATCCACTTTATCCATCCCCTGCATAATTTTATACGTCTCAGTCATGTCCCCCCCCCAGGAGCCTTTTCTCTAGACCAATGGTCCCAAACCTTATTGACACTGTGGATCGGTTGGCAGAGGATGGGGTCCATGTACAGGGAAGGTGGGGCACCCCCCGCGTGCGCGCATGCACAAGGCATGCACTTATGTGCATGTGCAAAGAGGCAGGGTAATTTGTGGGTGCGTGCACACTCACATGTATGTGTGAAGGGCATTTGGAAGCATGTGTACACTCATGTGCATGCACAAAGGGGCGGGGCGCTCGTGGGGGAATGCACACTTGTATGCATGCACAAAGGGGAGGAGTGTGTGCGGGGTGGGAGATCTGTCTCCACAGCCCAAGCCATGGATCAGCACCAGGCTGCGGACCAGGGGTTGGCGACCCCTGCTCTAGAGCAGAGCAGAGGTCTCCAACCCCCGGTCTGTGGCCCGGTGCCGGTTTGTGGCCTGAGCTGGACCGGGCCGCGAAGACAGACCTCCCACCCCTTGCACAACTCACCCCGCACATCCTGTTTGTGCCTGTGTGCGCGCTCCAGCGTGCCCGTTCGAGCACCGTGCCGCCGTTTGTGCATGTGCAATGTGCACACACGCACGAACACTGTGCTGCCATTTGTGCATGCGCACAAGCCCCCGTGTGCCCGCGCAAGTGCCACACCACCGTTTGTGCATGTGCACGAGCGCGGGTGGTGCCCAGCCTTCCCCAGCTGGTCCGCGGGGTGAAAAAGGTTGGGGAACCCTGCTCTAGAGTCTAGACTAAAGAGCCCCAAACGCTGTAACCTTTCCTCATAAGGGAGGTGCCCCAGCCCAGTTATCATTTTAGTCCCTCTCTTTTGCACCTTTTCCAGTTCCACTATGTCTTTTTTTAAAGGGTGGTGACCAGAACTGTACGCACTACTCCAGGTGCGGGTTTACCAGTGTTTTGTACAATGGCATGATTATGTTGCCTGTTTTATTTTCAATCCCCTTTTTAATGATACCTAGCTTGGAATTGGCCTTCTTGACTGCTGCCGCACACTGGGTTGACACTTTCATTGAGCTGTTCACTAGCACACTAAGGTCTCTTTCTTGATCCATCATGGACAGCTCAAAACCCACCAGCTGAAAAATAAAGTTTTGGGGTTTTTTTTGTCCCAATGTGCATTACTTTATATTTTCTTGTATTGAAACTCATTTGCCATTTTGCCTCCCATTCTCTGAGTTTGAAGAGATCCTTCTGGAGCTCTTCACAATTCCGGGTGGTAAAGACCAGAAGAGAAAGTTTTGTGTCATCTGCAAACTTGGCCACCTCACTGCTTATCCCTGTCTCCAGGTCATTTATGAACAGCTTGAAAAGCACAGGTCGCAGGACAGATCCCTGGGGCACACCGCTTTTCACCTCTCTCCATTGTGAAAATTGCCTATTGAGACCTACTCTCTGTTTTCTGGTTCTCAACCAAATGTCAATCTGTAAGAGGACCTTCCCTCTTATCCCCTGACTGTGGGGAAACCTTACTTTGCACCCCTAAGGCATGCTGCCATGTTCTTTTTAGGGAGAAGAGGCTTTCTCCTGGCACACGTTCTAAACAAACCATACTTGTTCAGTCTTTTTCTAATTGTACTGTCATGAACGTTGACATTTAACATACTGAGGGCTCTAGAGTCTGAGCTTGTTTTTTTTTTTAAATTCCTCTGAGCATTGCACTGAGCTTAGGGTGAATTTGCTTGGATGTCCACTCCTGGGAAGATTGTCAACTGTCAAATCTTTTCCCCTTGTGAATAATCTTCCTCACTGTAGAATGATGGACTTCAAATTGATGGGCAGCAACAATTGCTTTTCTGTGATCAATGCTAATGTGTTTCCTCTTTGGCACTGTGTTAACACACACCTGAACATACCAGACAGCAAACTGCTTAAACTTTGGCTTTTATAGAGGAGGTCATTCTTGCTGATGATCAATTCTTGCTCAAGGGCACTTGGTTAGAAGCATCTCGCTGCTGCTTCGCCTCTTGATTCCTATGGAAGCAGTAAGGGTGTACTTTGTTTTTCACACATGGCTTCTCCGTCTTGGCTTTCTTTTTGTGAAATAAATCATGGCACAGTGTAATATGTCATGTGTTGTTGTTCATCTGAGGTTGTATTTACCTAATTTTCACACCTGAAAAGGACCAGATGATTTTTAGTATGTCCTAATATAATGTAAAACCATAGAATTCAAAGAGGCTATACTTTCTTTTTCATATGACTGTAGTTAATATATTAACTAGCCTTGCTAGATTTGTTATTAAGACCATAAGATCTTGTACCCCCTAAGCCAGCCTGGTGCCCTCTGCTGTTGAGGGGCATGCAGTCCCATTACCATCACTGAAGTTAGTGTTCAACTTGCCAGTCCATTGAGCATCGGTAATGTGTGAAATCTTGTCCTTTGCAAAATGTCTTGGGCTAGCTCTGAATTGTCATGGCCAAAATTCTATTACTTATGTCTGCAGGCATAAGTCAAACAACATAAACCATTTCAGTAAATTGCCACTAAGGATTCTATGCTTCTGTTTCTGGTTGACTGCCAAGTCATACAACTGGTGCATGACAAGAAATGCAAGTCTCAACTTCTTAATCAGCAGCAGTTTGCTGCATAAATAACAGGATTCTGGCCATTTTCTGCTTCACAGTTCACTATTTTGTGCTACTGGACAGAGAAAGAAATAGGTTTGAATGGTCAGGGTCATTGGCCTTTCATAATGTTGAAGGAAAAACCCATGTACTTCTTGCAGATATTTAGCTTTTAAGTCTAAATTCATACCCAAACAGACTGATCCCAGCTGCAGAGTAATTATAAATAGACAATTTATTAGAGAAAAACATGAACATTTTAAGGGGAAACAGCTGAGTGTTGTGTGTTTGGCGGGAACTGGAGGGGAAATCATGTTGTTGTTGTTTAGTCGTTAAGTTGTGTCCAACTCTTTGTGACCCCATGAACCAGAGCACGCCAGGCCCTCCTGTCTTCCACTGCCTCCCGGAGTTGGGTCAAATTCATGGTGGTAGCTTTGATGACACTGTCTGTCACGAACCCAGTTCCCCTGTTTGTTGCTCCTCACAACCCAGGTTTACTTTCAGGTGTGACATTTATTTTTCAACCCTTTCCGCTGCCACCAGAGGAGTCTCTTCTCGATACATCAAATATGATTCTTAAATCAGTGTTATTCAATCAAACAAAGTTTATTCAAGTGTTCATAAGTAAATCATATAAAGTAAATCATAGATGGTCTTATTTCATTTAATCAATCAACTGTGCTTTAGTAACATTTATATTTGCTTATGTAGAATCATGTTAATACAAGTATTTATTCGTTTCTTTTCTTATTCATTTCTTTCCCTATCTCTCGATTACTCTTTACTAACACAAGACTGGTCCTAACTGCCTAATGTCTTCTCTTTAACTTAGGTCCCTACTTCATCCCTATCTGAAGTCCTCTTTAACTCCAAAACTAACTCCTCTTTAACTGTCATCCATTCTCTTATATATCCCTAGTCCCACCTTTTCTGTACAGCCATTGGCTCCTGAATCAGGGTTCCATTGTGATGGACAGGAGTGGTTCCTGACCTGTCC